AGGAGACGCTTGGGCGCCGGCTCCCACAGGCCTCTCCGCAGCCCGCTCAGCGCCAGGCCCGGCTACGGGTTTGGGGACGGTTGGCAGCTGGCCCCTCCACTGTCATCAGACCCCAGCCGGGGAAGCCCCTCGCTCAGGTGCGGGAGGGACAGCTGGTCGCGGAGGAACTCCTCCCTCACCACGCGGCGCCAGGCGTCCTGACTCAGTGTTCTGGGGCCCTGTGGGGCCAGGTGACAGGCGGGTGGCCTGGTTCCCGGAACTCCATGGAGACCCTGTCCCCCTTCAGCAGCAGCCCCTCTGTCCTGAGGTGTCCACGCCGGTCACAAAGCCACTGCCTCCCTCGCCCGTGCCTGGCCACCCTGGGGCCCGCCCGCCGTGATCTGCTGGCGCTCACCTATGTAGGCTGCCTTCTCCGTGACCATGAACTTGCTGTGGTTCACCCTGCTGAACGGGATGTTGGAATGATTCCCCACCGGCACGATGAAGACTTTCTTAGGGGAGCAGAGGCAGCGCGTCAGGAAGGGCGGGAGGAGGGTGCCTTCCCCACGCCCGGCTGGGAGCGCGCCCTCACCACGTCCACAGAGACGTTGGCCGCGGGGTTGCTGAGCGCCTGCAGGGACCGCAGGTAGGGGAACATGGTGGGGTCCGTGTTGAGTCCGCAGCTGACCAGCAGGCGCACGCGCACACCCTTGCTGAAGGCTGCCGCCCGCAGCGCGTTGTCCAGCACCGGCCAGTACCTTGGGGTGCAGAGAGGCGGGGCTCTGCTTACAAGCCCCCGGCCCGGCAGGGGTCCCAGCAGAAGGGGACGTGCCCAGGAGCTGCCCATCAGCAGAGCAGGCTGCCCGCCTCCCGCTCAGACCTACCTGCGGGGGTGGCTGAAGCGCGTGGTAGGGAAATACTCCATCACGGAGGCATAGATGAACTCCTGGGCGCTCCCCATCACCGCCAACAGCGCCTCCAGGTCAGGGGTGCGGCCCTGGGGACAGAGTGCGGGTGGCGATGCCTGTGACGGGAGAGGGGTCCCTGAAGGCTCTGCCAGCCCAGTCCATTCTGAACTTGTGACCCCACCATGCACCACCCAAGAGGCCCCATGTGGTGGTGGAGGGATGGGGCCCAGGTGCCTGGAAACATGACGAAAAAAGGGGTCGGTTCCACAGGGGTCCTGGGGACTGGCTGAGGCCTGGCAGAGCGACGGGAAGCAGCTGGACCGCCCTGGGCTCCAGGCTGGATTGACTTCCCAGAAACAGTTTCTGGCCACGGGGATGCTTCTCCACTCCCTTCAGGGTGCCAACCGCCCCCCCGCCCCATCTAGGGAGATTTCCCTTGTTCTGATACAGCCTCTACTGCAGACCAGTCCTGGGCTGGCTGGGGGGCTGTTCACCCCCACCCCCGTGGGCTGATAAAGGAGGATCTGCCTACCCCTCACTCTTCCCTTCCTTCCCCACAGAGCAAGTGGGGTTCCCCTCCCTCTCCAGTGCCCAGCTAAGCCCCTTGGCCTCTTCCAGCAGTCTAGAGACTCCCAGGGCCCCAGGGCCTCCCATCACCTCCGAGGCAGCCTGTTTCCCAGGGATGGTGCTGACCAGCTGTCCTCCTGGAGCTAAGCCTGCCTCCAGGCACAGCCCAGAGCCTGCTGATGCCAGCCTGCTGCTCACCCCAGGCCCCCCACAGTCCCACCCATGGTGCTGGCTGCCTGAAGACCCGGCTGATGCTGCTGGTGTCTGCAGGGCCAGCCCAGAGGGCTCCCTGTGGGTGTGGCCAGCCAGGGCAGAACAGGGGTCTCTGATGGGCTCCTTCTCAACCCGCCTTACTGAGAAGTAGGCAGTGGTGGGCACCCCATCAAAGAGGCCCTGGAAGGGCTGGAAACGGTTGATGTGAGATGAGAAGTTCTGAGGCCAGGTTTTGGGGAGGACAGCCTTGGGCACCCCCAGCACCCAGTAGGTCTGGAAGGTCTTCTCCAGGTCTTGGGCCAGGTGGCTGCAGTTATAGATGACAGCGCCAAGCTCCTTCACCTGCAGGGACCAAAGTCAGGTGCTGTGGGAGAAAATCCCCTCTGTGGGGCCTCCACCCCACTCCACCCAGGCCAGGGATGCTGGGGCAGGCACAGCCCCTGCCCCACGGGTCCCCACTTGTGGGAAGCATTGCCTGTAGGAATCTGTAAGAGTGTGCTGGTGGGAGGGGTGCCCAGCGGGTCCCTGTGTTTTTGAACATTGTATTCCAATGATCAAAGCAATACATGTTTATTACAAAAACAATAGAAAATGCATCAAGGCATTAAGAATGGGATCATTCTTAATACCACTGTCAAGTGATAACCAGGGTTGCCTTTGCCATGACCATCCTGACACATTTTTCATGCATTGCTTTTCCTAAAAAGGCGTGTGTTTTGTAATCTGCATGTTTCCCTGGATAATGTGACTTGAACATCTTTCCATGTCATTTAATGTGATTCCACAGCATGAGTTCAGTGGCTGTGTAGAATTCCATCATTTATTAGACCAGTCTCCAATTGTTTCTGCCATGGTGACATTGTAAACAGTACTACACGACTTTCTCCAGATGCACTGAGATGTCAGGCCAAGTCCCCAGAGTTCAGAAGGGGAAGAGCTTCAGGCGGGCCTCCTATGTTAGGGCCCTGGCACTCACCTGCGTCAGGGACCGCCAGTCCATGTTGGCACTGCCCATGTATATGTGCCGTCCATCCACAACCCAGAATTTGGAGTGCAAAACGCCCCTGGTGAGCCGCCCCATGGGCACCCGTCGTACCTGGGCACCTGGTGGAGAGTTCAGGCAATGGGATGGACTAGGTCTTGCTAAATGCCAGCTTCATGGTGAGCCTCACCCCAAGCTCATGACAGTGGGGTTGACTCGGATGTCCCCACAACAGTCCTACTAAGCTGCTGCTATCCTCATCCCCATTTTATAGGTGAGGACACTGAGGGATAGACTGGCCCAGGGTCCCTCTGGGCAGCTCAGCTCCAGAGCCTGCCTTTGTGGTGACTGCCCATGGCCTCTTGCTCCCCAGTCAGAGGTCCCAGCCTGAGCCTCCAGCCAGGGGTCAGAGCTGCTGGGCTCAGCAGGGCTCTGAAGCCACCCATGCTCTGCCCTGTGGAAAATGGCACTTTTGGTTCCTTGGAACCAGCCCTATGCCCAGGTGAAGCTGACTCAAAGGACCTCAGAGCCCTGGGTCCTGCCCTCCTGGGGTGTCCTAGGGAAGCCCAGGACACCTTTCCCACCCCCGCCCCTTTTCCTTGTCCCATGGTGCCAGACAGACAGCCCATGCCTGATGCTAGGGCAGTGGGGCCCAGCATGGTGCAGGTACGCACCTCGGGCAGCCAGGACCTGCAGGTCGGTGGACTTCCTGGCCAGTGTTGGACTGCTGGTGGCCACAGCCAAGGAAATGTTCCTGCCCAGCAGCTGCTGCAGCTTCTGCAGAAGGGCCTCTCCCTGCAAGGCCAGGCCAGCCATGAAAGCTGACCTCAGGCTGCCCTGTCCTCCGCATCCCCACTAGGACCCATGCCCTCCTCAGGAGGCCTACCTTGGACTGCCTACAGCTCAAGGTCAGGTCAAGTATATGGATGACCCTTGGTTGAGAGCCAAACTGCACCAGGCCCAGTCTGAGTGTTTAGTCACCCAGAGGCCCAGCTCCTTGACACCTCTGCCCTTAGAGCCCCCAAGGGAGTGGCCTAATCCCTGCTTCATGCTAGACCCTACCACCGAGTTGAGGCCCCGGGCCTGGTGCCCGAGACCCCTACATAGATGGGCAGCCTGACTTGCTGTGTTTCCAGCACCAGGATGCGGTGGGGTCAGGGCGGGGCGCACCAGCTGGGAAGATGAGTCGTTGACCCCAATGTCGGGCCCTGTGAGGGACCAGTAGTATGAAGCCACGTGGACGCTCTCCTGGGCAGTGTCCAGCAGCTGCAGCCAGGCCTGGCCCAGAGGCTGGGCGGAGAGGCTGCCGGCTGCAAATGGCAGGTCCTGGGGGATGCTTTCCACAAGGACAAACCTGTGGAGAGAGCCACACAGGGCTCAGTATGGGTGCAGGAGCCCCCAACCTGCCTCACATCACCTGCCCCATCCCGCTGCCAAGCCAGAGCAACTGTTGCTCAGGTGGCCCCTGGGATGAGCCCAGGCCAAGTGTGCAGGGTAAGGGTTTAAGGTATAGGCAACAAACAGACTGGGCAGGGTGGGCCTGAGCCCAGCATGCTGCTGGGATGGGACACCCAGGAGCACGTTGGGAAGGAGCCTGAGAGGGGCTGCCTGGTCCAGAGCAGGTTAGACTGGGGGGTCCTGGCCCCACCCAACCCTGAGGCACTGCCCACAGGGAGCAGCTACTCCTGAAGCCGAGAAGAGCAGAGCAGAGCTGTGGAGTCTGGAGTCTGGGGTGGCCTCCTGGTGTGGAAGCCCTTGGTGGCGGCCAGAGCTGGCCTGGAAGGGAAAGGCTGGGCCAGGGGCAGGCGAGATTCCATTTCCAGGGAATGTGTGCAAGATGGCCCAACAGGTTCCTCCAGGGCAGTCCTGCGATTCCAGGACCCCAACCGCAGGGAAAGAAGGGTGGGAGGGAAGGCTGAGGGGCGGGAGGGGACAGTGACACTATGCCCCAGGAGTGGGAAGACTGAGGGGGTGAGCTCAGCACAGGCAGTGTTTTCCAGCCTGTCAGATCCCCCGGGTGGCAGCCTTTGTTTGCTGCAAAAAGCACCACACGCCTGCCCCGTCCCCAGCCCCCACACCAGCTCATATGGTTGTGGCCCTCCCGGGTGACCTGCACCTTCTAGAGGAGCTGGTAGAGGGCCACCCTTATCTCATGGGCCGATCCAAGGGCAGAAACACAGGCAGCAGCCCCAAACTGAGACCTGCCCAGGCAGGCCTCCATGGGCTCACTTACTGGCAGGAGTCCCTCTGCTTCCTGACCTCCGCTTCCAGGGGCTCCAGAGCTGGGCTGGAACCATGCCCCCAGGACCTGGGCATGTCCTTGGGCTGCACCTGGCCCCAGGTGGGAGGACGGCGCACTTGCCACAGGAGGTAGGTAAGAGCCATGGAGCCCAGCCACAGCATAGCCAGCGCTCCCAGGACCTGCAACTGGATGGGGCAGCACCCGCAGGGTCACCAGGACAGGTGGGGGGTTGACTTCTGGCTGGGCCACCATGGCCCCTCCAGTGCTGAGACAGAGACCATCTTGACTTCCCTGGACCTGTGCTGCTGCTGGGGTGGGACTAGGGTGGACAAGGGAGAGGGGAGGGTGATGCAGAGAAGGGCCCCAGCCCAGGGTGGTGGCGGGGGTCGGGGGGCCTGCAGCCCACTCTGCAATGCTGTGGCTCATGGTAACTGGCTGTCCCCAGCACCTCCAGCAGGGGGATAAAGGGAAGGTCTGGAGCAGCCCAGGGAGGCTTGCCTTGCCCACCGATCAGGGCACCTCTGCTCCCCTCCTTGGGGGTGGAGGCCCCCTCAAGGCTGCTTGTGTCCTCTCCACTCTGGCTCACAGCTTCTGAAAGGCCACTGATCCCAGCCACCTCCTCCCTGGGCCCCCCCAGTCCTACCGTGCCAGCCTCTCTGTCCCACAGGCGG